ATTTTTACTTTTTCCTTGCTTTTGTCCCTGTTTCTTTGTTTTGTATGCTTGGTGAGGTCATCCCTCACCATGCTCTTCTCTAGCTTTTGTAAGTAACCCATCGTTTAATCAATAAAAGTTTATTTAGCTAAGATGTAACTACTTAACGAGTACTTGTGGAACAGGGAATAATTAGAAATAAAAATAGTGACTAACTAATAGCAAAGTAAAATAGAAATGAGGTGCGACTTCCTTCAATGTGTGCATGCTAAAGAATGTGTCACATCAATAATCATACTGCACCTCCAGTTAAACATAGACCATTAAAAGTAAAAGATCCATTAATGAGCAAAGAAAATGAATTTCTACCACTTCTACATAGATAAGTTTAGCAGTCCAAATTTTTATTCAGAACCGGTGAAGAAACTTACATCTTTAATTTTCACATGCAAATTAATCAGAATCCTCAAGGCCTCGGTGCTTGGCTTCAAATTATGACGACGAATGATTGAATAGATTGGATGCACCTTGTGATCACATTTCAAATACAACAATTAGAATTACTTTTTTAAGTATATGTGTTTAGCTGTTTACATAAAAAAATAAACCATAATGATATAGCTTGACAAATGTTGTGTTCATGCAGATTTTTATGTTGATGTAATCATTAAATTACATCAAGAAGATTTGATAGTAATTAGCCAGCAACAAATAAGGTAAAGACCCCCAACCCTCAACAAAATACGCCATTATGTCATTGTGGTTGACCCTTCCATAGTGAAGATGAGTGTCACCTTTAAGGGTCTACCAAAACATTACACGTTGTTCTCACTATTTTGATGGCTTCTCTTGGAACTTGATTTACAAATAACACACAAGGTTGGGCATGCCTTTATACTGCATACACACAACATAGCCATACTCTTTCCTAATTGAGGTTTTTGATCATCCTGGTTAGTCAAGCTTGTGTGGAATGATTTTTACTGGGTGATTAATTTTCCTATACATGCTACAGGATGCAGAATTTAGACAACACTGTGCACTGATGTTTTTGGGAAGAGTATACCATATGATATTGGTTACTTTGAGTAATCGAGTATACCATATGATATTGGTTACATCTGCCCTTGCCTATATCAACAGAAATGCAGTGATGGCTTCCAAGATTTTGAAAATGCTTGACTTGTTTGGTCATCTTGTTAAGAGCATCTTCAGTGGTTCGGACTGCCTCCCTAATCAGCTTCGATGGTTCCCTAAATTTTATAGATCTCTTCTGTTTTTCAGTAATTTCTTTTACATCGGCCTGTTCAATGGCCATGAGCCCATGATGAGGAAGACGACTTCCCCATTTTCCCATCTAAGTGGACAATAAGAAATAACTCAAACAGGTTCTGTCTTCGAGTATTATCTATATGAATATATGTTATAAACCACAACTTTTCCTAAGTGGTGGTTATCCTCTCACTCTTTTCCATCCAAATGGTTTAATATAGTCCAAAATACAAGCTCGAGAAAGCATTACCTTTCCGGACTGTGTGATACACTAGGTCTTGAACAATAAGAAGAGAACCAATTGAATGTCTTACAACCATAAAAGCTGAGACACATAAGGCTCCACTCCAATAATCTTAAAATAGTGTTGCTACATCCCCATGGTGCATTTCCTTAGAAAATCAACTAATAATCACATATCTTAGGCTGTGGTAATTATAAAAAATATGGATGAAGAAAGAGTTCGAGGTACCAAATCAAGCTCACAGCTCTCCTCAACTGCTTGTAAAATGGGGTAGAAAATCTCAACAGATAAGGCCAAATCCAACTGGGACATTTTTTCAGCAATATCAAGAGCTGCATGAACCTGCACAAATATTAGCAAGAGTAAAAGCAATTATACATATGTTAAACCTTATAAAGAAGTTTACAAATCTTCATTGATGTGCTTTAGCATTACAGAAAGACAAAGTTCATCTTATTAAGTCAATTTGACATGGTAAAGCTTTTCATGGTCGCTAAGTATTTTTCAAGTAAGGAAAAGTCATTACTCTCCTGATAAAACAAAAGCACTTAATTACTTTTATTTTTCCTTGGGATATGAAACTTTTATATATATACTAACTCTATAGGTGGAATATAAGTGCATATAGAAAATTCGAAACACTTGAAATAACAATGGTATCATGAATTTATCTATTGCGAAACACAAAATTTCCAAAGGAAAAAGAGGCAACAATCATACCTGAAGTGAATCACAACAGTAGCTGACGAGTTTCTCATATGAGGTGATTGAAGGTCTCACATCAAGCTTCTCATGCAAGTATTCAAATTTTGAAATAACATCTTCAACCTTGTAATTCAACAATCAACAAGGAGACAACAATATAGAAAATAAGTAGCAACAACAAGACCTTTGATATATTTTCGCAGTTGCATAAGAACCAATGAAAAAGAGTAAAAGACAGTCTTGCATAAAACAGATAGAATAAATGGTTTCATAACAAAACTTTTGCTACACCTTACAAAGTTCTAAGGTTGTCTACTGAATTCTAAGAAAGAAAAGGGCAAACCACTCTATCAGAACCAGTTTATGTTGATAACAGTCTACTAATTTAAAAGTAAGGAACGGGCAAACCACTTAATCAGAACCAGTTCACATTGATAACCGAAAACTGCTTGCAGTGGCAGTCCTTTATATCTATATAACAAAAAACAAGGATGATTTGGCGTGAAACGATACACCGTTGAGGGGTGGTTGAGATGGCACTAGATTTCCCTCGAACCAATAAGTTAGTGTTTGATGTTGGGTTTGATAACAATCGTATGGTGTGTAAATACATAGCAATATAACATGTTGAAGGCACGGTAAAATGATGACAATAAGTCAAGTACATGTGTAGAAGAGAATTGCTGGTGACATGTGGAGAATGAGAATGTGTTTCCTACTTGTCATTTTCAAAGTTCAAAATGTCATAAAGCTTGATCATTGACAAATCGTCGTGAGTGTTGTTGGAATGGCTCATCACAGCAAAGGTGTGTCCCAAGCATGCTAAAGGGGCCCTGCAAGTCACAAATGTCATACGGCTCTAATTCGACATCCAGAGGGTTGCCCGAAACCTGACCGGGGCATGATTATCGTTCTGGTTATAGGTACAGGACACCGCTGGTGGTACTAACAATGGAAATATGGTTGGAAAAAAAATCTGTATTTGGTGGACTGATGCCTTCAAGCATGATCAACCCTTTTTTATATTAAACCTAATTAACATATTAATGATCAACCTAGCGCACATACCTATTCCAAATTCGTCAATGAAGTAAATTATAAATGACTAAGAATTAATTGAACAACCTAATCAAAACATTTTTATACAATATAAATTATAAACTACAGACAAACAGGACAACATAACATTTTTGCATAATTCAGACATGACTTAACAGCCAATCATAGACCACTAAATAAAGCAAATAACATCAGTGGCATAGTTGCATATTTCATTAAAGTTCCTCACCGCCAAATTCAGCATGCTCATAGCATAGTTACAGATGAAGTACGAGAGATTATCTGCTTCAACTTCTGCATTGAACAAGATAAGTACATTATCATTCACAAAAATTGTACTTCTAAAGCAGTATATATGTAAAATTTGGTAGATTATCATTGGGCTAAGAATCTAAAACCCATTACTTAAATCTCAATTCCACGTACTCGCGTAGGAAAATCAGTTTTGAAAATAAACCCAAAAATCCAAACCTTGTATAATACAAACATTTAGGACGAATATTACTTTATTCTTCCTTGTCTTCAAGCTTGCTCGCACAATATGAAATCCCTCCATTACCCTCTTATTGCCACATACTCCATGCCCCACCGGCCACCACCAAATTTACCTCCGCAATATCCACCATAAAGGACCAACTCGATATCGTCTAACCAACGTGAAATGTATGAACTTGCACCACAAAATATCACATCTCTATGAAGCAAAAGGAACACTGGACTCTTACATGGTATAGCAATCTGGAAGAATCATTACACATAATTTCTATGATTTTATCTTCAACCTCTCTTTCCCAATCCCCCATGATTTTATCTTCAACCTCTCTTTCCCTAAGCCCCCGTAAAAAACATTTCTGTCCCTGTTCGCTTCGTGAAAAACAAGCTTACATTTCTTAGAAGAAACATAAAATCTGATAGTTGGATATAAACTCTCCATTTCGTTGTTGCCGATATATGTCTGGGACACAGCCACACTTGGACACATGCTCCAAACACATTAAATCACGTGTTCTACAGAATGGACTTTTAATTTTCTTTCCCAATCCCCCATGATTTTATCTTCAACCTCTCTTTCCCTAAGCCCCCGTAAAAAACATTTCTGTCCCTATTCGCTTCGTGAAAAACAAGCTTACATTTCTTAGAAGAAACATAAAATCTGATAGTTGGATATAAACTCTCCATTTCGTTGTTGCCGATATATGTCTGGGACACAGCCACACTTGGACACATGCTCCAAACACATTAAATCACGTGTTCTACAGAATGGACTTTTAATTTTCTGACACATATAAGACACATCAGGGACACCTACTGATACAAATTACTAGGCTTATTCTATTGCATGCAGAATTAAACAATAGCAATAATAAAGAAGAAAGACAAGAGTTTATCTCACTTATTTCTTCTAA